ACCGCCACAAGCTGATAGGCCCTCTGTATAATCCTTCTTGAATAACACATTATTTTTGATTGATGGTTTATGGGATGGCTTAAATTTGGTTTCCTGAAGTGCAATGACAGATGGATGGATTCGATTTATAGGGACGTTTAATTCAGCAGTATGGGCATAATACCTATCCGCATTCCATTGCAAAAGGGCCATAATGTTTAATTTTCAGGGGGAGGAGAGGCACAGTTGGCGGAAAAATCAGAAAGCATCTCATCATCAGCAACCTCCAGCTGGCTTTCTTCAGGAGAATCTAAGTTCATCTCAATGGCATCAATGAGGCGCGAGATCCTTCCCTTTAAACGATTAAATTTTTCAGATTTTATTGTAATCAATACATCACGAAGTTTTTCGAAATCATCGGTGTATACTGAAACAATCTCTAAGGGATTTATATAGTTTTTAGTTTCAGCCAAAATTTTCTTCAAATCTGATGAAGTAAATGTGACCTCTGAGTTATCTTGTATTACATTTTTAATGGCAGTGTACAGGAGTTTATTTTCTTCGTCCAGAAGTTTTTGTTTATTTGAGGAGGGTGGTTTGGAAGGAGAGGTGATCGAGTTCTTTGACATTGTTTCATCTTGAGGTTTAACATTTGGGGGAGAGGAAGAATTTACCTCAGTATTTTGTAAAGGGCTGTGCACCGAGGAAGTAGGATTTGTCTCTAGAATCATCTCTGAGGGTTTTATATTTGTATTGAGGGTGTCCCTAAGTTCAGTATCTGAATTCTCAGTCTCAACATCCATGCGTTTCCCTGCTGATGTCTCTTCCTGCACTAACTGTTCAAGAGCCATTTGGTGCTTTTGGAATCGATCAGCAAGAGATTCGATGTTTGGAGGACTTCCATTTTCAGATGTATGCCATAATTTTTTCGCACCTTCAGCAGTTTTGTGGCTGGTTAGGTAATTGCAATGAAGACATCGTGGGTCCTCTACTGATAAGAAGATTCGGACTTCTTCTCCATCATGAGAAGAGGGAGGGGGGCTTCATTAAGAGGGATGGAGGGAGAGCATGAGAGTTGGCGTCCTTAAGAATGAAGGTTTCACGACGAAAGGACTTGATATGTTGAAATTTAGGGTCTTTCAGTCCAACCGATATGAGGTACATGGGTGAGACTCCTTTTACAAATTGGCAAAGAGCTTCCATTAATTTTTCGTTGGTCATGTTAGGCATTACATTTGATAAAACCAGACAGAAAGCAGGATTAATGAGACACCTGATGGGAAGGGGGCCGACAGCAGTGATGATAAATCTTGAATTGCAAGCATTATCAACTAGCTTTTCAGATGATAAATAGATGCATATTCGATTATTAGAAATTTTGGAGGCATAAAGAATATCTGACGAAGGAACAACCTTTGAAATTTCATTCAAATAATCAGTTAATGTAAGATTTTGGTTAGCAGGAATTATGATAGCATATTTCTTCCAAACATAATCACCTGTAATCGTTGTCATTGAGTTCTGTGCGCTCTTACACGCAGTAGAGTAGGAAGTAGATGGAGCGGCAGGAGAGGGGGGCATGGTCTTATCAGTAACCACGGACTGCATAGTAGGAGTAATAGGCTGAGCGATGGATTGGGTGATGTTATCCTGGGGCATCATTGAGACGGCCGTAGGATGAGGATCAGTAGGGAGTGATTGGGAGGAGGGAGTCAGCTGTTTGCTAATTTTTGAAGAGGATGATTTGTCTGAGGAGCAGTCCATTTTCGAAGAGCGTTTCTGTTTTCTGCCTCGTTTCATCGTGAAGAGGAGGGGAGAGGACAGTAGACAAGACAACCTATGGTTTTTTCGCCACAACGGTATCCATGGAAACACAGCACAATTTCACTCGCGATTTTAGTTTTGTGATCACATAGAAATTATTTTTAAGGAAAGCAATGACAATTTCGCAAAAAAGAAAGGGGGATAAAGGTCCAGTACGAGGTCATACAAGGATTCAAAAGGACCCTTTGGAAAGAGCACGAAAAACTGCACAAACCGATATAAGTCTCATTCAAACTTTCGCGCCAGATTGACTCAAAAAAACGAAAATTCGCCGGAGCACAATCACGCGCGTGCCGTCGGACCGATCTGGATCTCTCACTCTATGTATGGTTGGTTGGTAGATACGTTTATTTGGTGCTTTTAACAATTGAGCCATTAACACCTTAGAGGAGAGATCAAAGTATAGTACAGAATTTAAAACTTTAAAAAGTAGGGGTCACAAAAGGTGGTACAAAATAATGTATGTATGTGTGTATGTATGCATGTATGTATGTAAGTATGTATGTATGAGTGTGTATGTTGTGACATCGTTTTGATAAATGAGGCCCTTTCAAATAATGGGACAGTTTTTAAAATAACTATGATCCGATTTTAAATTGCCATTTACTTAATGATGTGCCTACATTAGTTTTTCTCCGCTCAAAAATATGGAACATGTGGATATTAACAATTTTAACAGTAAAATTAGAGTACTGTATCTATGAAAGCACTATTAGCACATCAGTATCATGACTTTACATAGAGGGGGTGTGAATGAAAGTTTCCGAGCACAATATGGCATAAAATACTACAAATGAGACTTCAGATAGGAAAGAAATGGGAAAATCCATCCATTTATCTAAAAAAGATTCAAGAGCTGACAAGTTTTTTATTTTGTCTTTCGAAATATGGGATGTTTTAGAAATTGCAACAATTCGAATTTAAACTGCCATTCATTGTAAGATCATTTTTTGAGTTCTGAGATTCAGAATGGGCTGATCAATTTTCCTGTTTTTGTCGTATTTTCATTTTATAGGCTTCAGACTTTTTGAGAAAGACCAATACAATAGAGAATTTACAGGTGTCCGAAATTTGATGAATTTCGTGTTTAAGTGAAAACCACTGAGTGAACTGAACACGAGGATAGCATTGGTTCATGAATTGAACAATTATTGGAAAAGATATGACAAAATGATTTAATCTGCTAAAACTCGTCTGTTTAAATGGGAAATACCGCCAGATGACGGCACTTGGCGGTGCATTTTCTCACATTTAAATGTATTTTTATACTATTTTACACATCAGAAAAAAATTATAAAAATTAGAGTTGGGCCGGGTATCCAGAGATTATCTGGATTGCCAGATTATCCGGCCGGGGGCCGGATACGATTTTCGCGGGTATCCATATCCGGGCAGATAATTGCGAAATCCGGTTTTTGGACCCGCCGGATAGTACTGTTACGGCCGTGAAAAATTCGATAAATTTTTGGTGATATTTTGGAAATTTTCGGCGCACTTAGAGTAGCCATTGTAATTGTTCAACTTTTCGAAACTTGTTATCATCGGAATAAAGGACATTTACATGATTGCAATGTGACCCTTAGTTCCGAAAGTCCGTGTGTTTTACTTTCTAAGACCAAGATGCAGGTGGAAGATAAAAAACACAATACCACCACCATGTGCATAAGTTCCCTGTTGGTAACGTTTTTAGTCCGAGAGTAACTCCGCAATTATTGTAAAGTCGCAGTACGCAGCTTGTTATTGCAGCGTCAAAGCGCTGTTTTCCACTTTTATCTTGTTTAGGCACACTTCTAATAATATCTCTCTCTCTGCACATCATATTCATCTTGCCCATCACACCATGAAGCCAATGAAAGCCATGCTGTTAATCTGCCAGGTCTCTTGTTTTTACTATTCGTTGAAGCGGGCTGACTCGTAGCATATCATTGAAAAATATGGAGGTTGGCGGAGCGAAGGCACATACATCAAGGATGACGGTCTTGATGGTGTTTTACACAGTGTACCTCTTGTCCCAAGTGCGAAATCGGGAGATTTTTCTCGCTCGAAATCAGGAAATTTTTCTCACACAAAAAAGCACTATCTGGATCCGGTATTATCCGGTTCCAGCCGGATACCTTAGCAAATCATCCAGTATCCGGCTTTGGCCGGATACAAAAAATCGATATCCGGATCCGGTGACGTGGAAAACCCATTTCCGCCCAACTTTCTGAAAAATACTGTGAAATCAGCTCTTTAAGCACTTTCAGATGAAGCAATGAAAAATTTGCATGCAATTTCTCCATTCTGCTCAGCAGAGTCTGAATTCAACTTTCAACTTAAATTAAGTGAAAAGAGCAACGCCAAGAATGGCACAATTTGGGCCAGAAGGGATTTTTCTGAAACCGGGCCCAAACGATACCTTATGATACCCTAAAACTCTGGTTAAAATTTTAGCTTGAATATACGCACGGTTTTTGAGAAATTAGGGGGCAAAGTTGCCAAATCGCCATCATTCTGGACAGCATTTCTACAGCAAAAAGACGGGAAAAATGGACAAAAAAGTTACACCTTAGATGGGTTTCGGCTGTAAATGTTATTATTGGGCCCCCAAGCATTTAACTGTGTTCAGTTTCAAAAAATTTGATTGCACAGTGGTCCAAAGTGGGGAGAAATCGTCGACAAATCATGATTCTTTGTCAAATTTTTAAAAATGGAAATAAAATTGTCGGTCTGCTGCAGTTTTCATGGCTTACAACGTTCTTATCGGTCCTCAATGCATGAAATTGTGTTCAGCTTCACAAATTTACATCGCACAGTGGTCAAAAATGAGGGAATTAGTGGACAAATTAAGATCCTCTGTGAAACTTTTTAAAAATGAAGTGACACTGTTGGTCCCCAGTAGAGTTTAGATCCCGGAAAAATTCATGTATTTAATTTTCTTAATTATTACTGCATGTCAGACCGTATTGTCTATAGAACGTTCTTATAGAATAGACTTTGTAGCATTATCTCAATAAAATATGCAAACTTTCAGAAATTTAAAAAAAAGAAGGAAAAATGGAGAGAAAAAATTAAAAAATGATTTGGCGTTTTTGGCGTCGCTCTTTGCACAAAACCTCTCCGCCCATGCGGGACCTTTGACCAAATTTTTGCCACAGGGTCACAGGGCTCCGGTGAGTGACCCTAAGAGTAACTATCACCGACCTTGAGTCACATACCTGTATGTAATTCCGGTTGAGAAGGTGCTTGGTGATTTCCATCAAACTATCCGAGATATCTTCGGGTAAAGTTTTGGTTTTTAATTTTCTGAACAAGGGTTTGAGGTATTGTTGAGTTTGAGTAAAAATCGCGAGAGCATACTTTCCTTTTGCCCCCGATTTCTCCTGTCCACTCCTCGTATTCAATTTATCAAACCACATTTTCAGGAGCAACTGAAATCAGAAGATACTTTCAGGCTCAGTGTTGAAGCTGGATACAGCCAATAGATGCCAAAAGGAAACAACTAGGAAAAATAATAAGTTCATTAAATCTCATCCACTGGATAATTTTTACTATTCTCAAAAAAATACTGATGGACATTAGCAACTTCGTTCTTGTGTTAAGTCTGAGTACAAGTTCATTTTTGTAGGGTGAAATTTGGGATATGATTTGGACTATTCATTTAGCTATGAGAGTTAAATTAATGTGTAATATTAATAAACTTATATCCTAATGACAGGTCCAAAAGTTATTTTCAGCATGTGAGAGATCAAGCTTAAAAATTGTGGGAATTTCTTATCTTTGTACATAAGTTGTGCCAAAATACGTCTACTGATGCTGTCATTTCAAAACGAATTACGCTAGAGACATCGTCACCTTCCGGCCAAAGTATCACAAGCGTCACTTTGCTAACTTTTCAGGAGACACAAAAACTGATTTAAGACAGCCTCAGGCAGAGTGCCAGCTTGAAACTTCGAATACCGATCCAGCACAATGTCCTGCCTTGATTTTTAATAAAATTTCTTTAAGAACAAATTTTTTTCTTTGAAAATTGGCGCTTGTGATACTGCTTTCTTGGGGCATTCTGAGAAACCATGCTTGTGATACGGCTGCTCATCAAATTTAACAGAGTTCTTTCCATATTTATTCATTTTTAATCTAAAAAAAAAAAAAAATTATTATTTTCCTGAGTAAATGCATCTGATTAATTCAAAACCATCCATAACTCAATTTCAATAAAAAGAGCGCTCATGATGTTCTGGCCGGAAACTCAGAAAGTGACGAATTGCTCCAGGTCATTCCAGGTGTAGCTGATACTTACTGAAATTTCAAAAACAATCCCAAAGATGAGCGACTACCCAACTTGGAGCTTGTGATACAAAAGTTCACCAACTTCAACGGATTATTTTCCATATTTATTTATTTTTATTTTCAAAAAGATGCTCACGTTCAAAATGACAAGATGCATTTACATACGAAAATAATTTATATTCAAGACATTCCAAGGGTTGCTGTGACAAATATTGCAAACAATCAGTAACGTGGGCGGTTGCCGAACTTGGCTCTTGTGATACTTATCTCCCAAATGGGGCTTGTGATATGAATGTAAATCAACTTTAATCAATTTTTATTCATATTTCTACATTTTTGTTCTAAAAAAATGTATTATTTTTGTGTGTAAATGCATCTCGTAATTTCGGTAAAAATGGCGATTGTGATACTTGGCTGGAAGGTGACGACATATTCTTGTTTATTCTAGAGATCAGATTCTGAGCTATCAATCATATCATTTGCTTGAATAATGACAAAGTTATCACAATTTTTAAAAGAAATGAAATGCTTGCGAGTTTTGTGCAGTATGAAAAAAAAAAAAAAAATTGCATACTGTGAAAAATTAGGCAGTATCACTTTTCCAAACACTTCAGCACCGAAAGGGTACTGGAAATTACCAAATTTTACATTGCAAGATTGTGAAGTTGTATGGGGACAGCTGCCACCACCATCGGGACAAGGCAAAGTCAGTTCATCCCTGCCTTAATCAAGTGTGCAAAAGCAATAAAAAAGTACAGGAGTGTCAATAAAGGGCACATTTTTAACGCTCGAAACAGATTTGCACCGTGTGAGAATCCAGAGAAAGAGAAAAATCAAATTGACTGTCCAAGCGATTTTTGGTAATATCACAAGGGAGTAATTCTATGAAATTATACTTAGGAATTGACATTATACAAAAATGACATTATTGACAAAAGTGCATTAGGAACAATGCAAAACCTGACCTCCAATGGGTTTAGAAAGTAATAGACATGAAGATTAAAACTCGTAGGCTTGATACCCAAGAATACATTTCTGTTAAAAACTCGCAGCAGCATTTCACACTTCACTAAAATCGTCATTCTTTCGGCAATTTTTGAGCAAATGAGATGATCTTGGTTTCTACTGATAGCTTAGAATATGATCTTGAAACTGAAACCAAGATTATGTTTTGAGCATCAGTAATTTCAAAATGGCAGCATCAGTCCAGTCCTTTTACTTTCGGAACCACCTATGTTTATTTTAGGTATAGATTGCATATTTTGCTCCTATAAACTTTCAAGACTGAACGCAGCATTAAATTATGAGCTCTCACACAGTGTAGACAAACGGCTGGTTTTCACGACCTCTCGAGCTTGGTAGCAGAAACTTCAGGAGGCTGCACTGCACTGATGATTGGCCCAACAAGGCCGAAACGTGTCTGCAGTTGCCTTCCTGAAAGGACGTAACTAGTGTTGCTCCAAACAGCATATCTCTTTAAGGGAAATCTGTGCTCGAACGAGCTTTTTCCCTCTGTATTGAGATTTTCAGCTTCATGCTGAATTTGTAGTGCACGTTGGCAAAAAACTCCAACATAAAAAATAATTTATTTACTCAATGTAAGCCTCAGTTTAATAATAATGTAGGGTAAAATAAATTATGCTTAAGTAAAAAATAATGAATGGGTGCATTATAAGGTAAGAGGAAATCTAAATTTTCGTGAAATTTCAAAACGTGAAATCAAACAAGAAAAGTCAGCTTTCAGAGAGGCTAAAAATGAGGGCAAAAAGGCAACAGAGTAACAAGAGAAAGAGGGAAAATGACATCGCATACCTGTAGTAAGTGCATGATCACATCCATATCATGATTTCTATCTCCTTTGCCTAAAGTTTTAGCTTCCTCTTGGATTTCTTCGTAACTTAAGACATTTTCGAGATCCTTCTGCATCGTTTTGTTGGTGGATTTAGTTTGAGAGGCAATTATCTCATCTAAATAATCTTGGTCAACTTTTTCTAACGCCTCTTGGAAGTCATTCCGGAATCCCTAGAATCAACACGAGTTCCAACTAAGATTGACACTTGAGTGGAGTTGCACAACAGACAAATTGAAAGCTGACAGTAAGAAACAAGGAGCGAAAGAGTAAACTATTTCATAAAGTCAAAAGCAACTAAAAAAAATAAAAAATAAAAAATAAAAAAAAAACAATTGAATTTCCCAATATTCTGGCATGATTTCTTATCTACAGTGAATTGAACACAATTATTGAGACTTGAGTTTTCTTCATGAAAGCAGTTGATAAGCTTTGATGTGTGATGCAGCACTGCACTGATCTCTTTCATAAAATTTCACAGCTGTTAGCTTTGGATTTAAATGAAAAAGTCTTACGAAAAGCGTAGCTGAAACCCAAATTAGCATTGAAATTTGACTTTCAGGAATACTTCACAAGCCGCCTGCTACAAAATTCATATTTCCGACGACCAATCACCAAGGTAACTTGTTCGCATAGAATGTAACCAGCCAACCGTGCACTCCCTATCTCCGCCGTGTCAGCTGAGCGAGGCAACTTCGGCGGGACTCCGTAATGGGCGGGCGGGGTGGGAGCTCGCGCCTGAGCCCCACTGAGCCCCACGCAGCATGTGCCGGCGTTGCGCGTACTTGGAAAAATTAGTTGCGCGCTCGGATTTTCGCGAATTACTCGTTTCCACTTCATTTTTCGGCAAAATTTACAAGGACCACATGTTAATAGCATGAAATTTATTATTACTCTGAACAATTTTCGTTTCTCTACAGTCATTACTGACTGGAAAAACGCTTCATAATTGAAAATATGAGGAAAGTGACCTGCGTATCAAACGGATGTTCTTACATATATAGTGCGTGCAGCTTGTAAAGATGACGGCGTGGATAAGAAGTAATTTTGTAAAAGGTACAAAAAGGATTTAAAATGAGGTCAATCATATAAATCAAGGGTAAAAACGAGGGATAGTGTTATGTATTGTACATAAAAAGGCATATAAAAGTTACGAGAGAGTTACTTAAAGCTATTGTCCATCTTGCTCTAAGAGAAAGATTTGATTAAAAGCTGAAAAAGAGGGGCAACGATTTCGGCAGTTTCAAAGTACCGAGATTTAAGATTATTCCACTGAAAAAGATAATGTTCAAGCATTATTATCAAACTAATTTACGAGTCGCAACTTAATGTTATTTAATCTGCTCAAAAATTTCAAAATCAATACTTCAGTCACTTCTTTATGACTGGCGATCGTGAATACTGTTTATTTTCAAAAAGTATGGGTCAGTAATTGCTCTTAATTCCTTTGCATTTTTAGGCGGCTCTGTGATTAAGTCGCTGCGCTCGAGAGAGGCCCGCACCTCTTTTTAACGATGTTCCAGAATCTATGTCGCTCACATTTGTTTAGTAGAGTAGTTTCTAATGGTGAATTTCAACGATTTTTTCCCAGAAAATTGCAGAATCATGAAAAATAACTCGGTAGAAATTTCTACGAAAGCCATGAATTTCCTTCACTGATGAAATATTAGTAGAGATTTTGAACCACCGCAACCAAGAAGTGCCATTCTTGCACCCAGTGCCTCAATTTTTCTGCACATTGCAGGTGCAGTGGATTCTATGAAATGAGTTTTTATCATGTCCTTACTCTCCTCTATAAAATTAAAAAAACACAGCACTTATGCTATGTTTTCAGCAAAATGCTGAGGGCATTTACTTATTATTACATTTATCACAAATAAATATCGCAAACTAAAACAACACTATTTTGAAATTGAAGACACTAAATTGACTACAATTTTCAATGAAGAACTGCTATTTCTGGCTCATTTTAGGAAGAACAAAATGTGCCATTAGTTCATGATCCGTTGTTGTGTCCTGTATTGGTTTCCTGTGTAGTTAGGTAATAAAACAAATGAACCAAAAATAGTAGTTCCCTAAGGTTAAATGTAGTCAAAGTTTAAAAATTATTATCGGGACATAATCATTCTTGTCTCTTGCCCGGTTCATCAAGAATTTGCTCATGAAAGCATACCATAAATTGAGAGTTGTGTGGTGCTTAATCATGAAAACTAAAACACATCTTCACACAGAAACATTTGATGATAATCAAAGAACACATCAGCCGAAAATATTTGCACTAATCAATTAATAATTAAATTATTAATAAAGATTTCAGAGCGAACCGTACCAACCTTGTGCTCACTGTTCGTTTACCGTGAGCTGGGAACGGCTGGGGCTCACTTACCTCACCGGTGCCGTTTCGGTGTTCCCGCACTCATCGGTCGGTGCGGCATGCGAATGGAAGAGAAGTGGCCACTGCTCCATTTCACAGCGCACGGCCTACTCTATTCAATGTCTTTGAATTTATGCAGCCGCTGCCAATATGAGAGACTCTTCATAAAGAAATGACCATTAAAGTATGACATGTTGTTACAAAAGTGGAGATCGGTGCACTTGCGAATTTATAAAAACCACCCTTAATGGGCGGCAATTTTGAGACGCTCAGTTGAGACAATGTTTCCACCTCAAAATAACTCAATACTTTAGGGCCTTGTGGATAAAGTCCTACTGCACTTTGGGCTTAGGTCATACCCGGCTCAAACATTAGCTACGTTTATGCGAGGCTCGAAACCGGGGTTTCACGAAACCCGAGTTTGTAATGCAAGTTTTCTCCGTCGGGTTTATGCGGGCGCTGTAACCCGACTTTCGCGGGAAATCAAACTTTCCGATTTTGGCGCTGTTTATGCGCATATTTTCGATTGAACTTGAATTTCATGTTGGCGCCATTTTCACAAGCTATACTTCATTTTTCCACTATGAATTGATTCAATAAATTATTAGGTATTACTCTTTTATCCTGTGTATGTTCAATTTTTCCACAATATATAAGCGGAGGCTTCATCTTCACTAGAAAAGCCTTTACTGACTTTCTGAGCAACAGTTGGAAAAATGACAGTATATGTTTAATCATTTTACGTTCATCTTTAAAATTGAATGAATACCTAATCTCAACAACCCTCCAAATCATGCTCGAGCTTATATTCTGAGTTCAGAAAAGTTGCCATAGGTAATTTTAGTGATGTTAAAAATAATTATGGCAGGCGCAGAAATTCATCATGTTGTTGATTGAGCTTCTAATGATCTTACAATAGGTAGATATGGGCATTGAAAGTGTAGGAGTGCTAATCCAGTAAAGCACCGCACCTTCACTCCATGCTGTTGTAAAGATTGTATGTCTGCTATTATTGTAGTGAAACAAATAAAGAATCGGGATATACTTATGGGAATTCCTCCTTCAAGATATGATCAAAATAAGCAGATATTGATAGGTCAACAATGTATCGCTGAAGCAGAAGCGTCTAAATCCTCTTGAGGTAACGGACGGTGACAATCTCAACAAACTGGTGACGCTTCACAAATTTTGAATTTCCACATTCCCAGAGACACGCGCTGAAATCCTGTTTCTCACCCCTCTTTCCGACTGCTCTCCGAGTCCATGAGCAAGACAGGAAGAAAATAGGCAAGCTACCTACCACTGTTTGCCTATACCTATGTGTGTTTTTCTTAAACTTGATTTTCAAAGGTGACTCATGTAAAGAGCAACTGAAAAACAAGATTTCAGAACCTGCCATTGCATTTCACTAACCTAAGACACCAACCCAACCTTACCATTGATATTCTTTCGCTTACACTGTATATTATTCTCCCACTGAGATTCGATATGAACTCAATTCAAAAATCCTTCTGAATTTAATTATTCAGGTAGATTGGAATCTGGAGCTCTCAGTCTATCTGTAAAGCGCATTTACTAACATTCACTGCTGTCACAAGATATTTTTGCACGGGCAGAGCCACTTTCCACAGTTGATGCACCTCTAACGCCAAAGCTCAATTATGACAAGTGGTTCAACGACCAAAAATTGTTACACGCCTCACTAAAAACCTTATTCTTATCTCAAATTGAAAATCTTGGATCACAGAGCACTCACCGAAGAATCTCCTTCCTTCTGCATCAGTATGAGAAGAGTGACGATACTTTGGAGCAATAACTTTGAACTAGTTTCAATAAATGACGGCTTCAGAATTTGAGTCATCATTTACTAGAGATTGGATCAAAGAAATAAGTCAGCAGGTCACGGTTGTGGCTGGAGTCACACTTCCAGTAGGACAACCAGGAAATAGATACACGGATAACACACAAATTCAAGAGCTATGCAGCTCTGATTGGATCAGATTTTAGATTTAATCGGTAGATTGAAATGAAAAAATTCGGTGCACTAATTAAAGGGAAGCAGGGTGCCTTATCTTTAAATCCTAGGCAAATCGTGTGGATACGGTAAAAAAGTTCTCCGCAGATGATGAACTGGTAGATAAGGCTATTAGGTACTCAATTGTAGCCTGTAAAGCTCTTTGCTTGCTTTGCTTCTGTAGTCATAAAATGTTGATTAGAGTTGCAAGAATAATCTGAAAAAGCAGTAATAAGCCTGGATTCCATCTGACACTAAACACCTTCACTAGAAAATAACGTCCTACGTTTAGCTAAATAATGCTAAATAAGCCACATATAACTGAAAGAATCACGCAAAAGTGCTTCAGAAACAATTATAGTAAAATTATGGTTGTAAAATATGTTGAATATTGGCAAAATTAAAGCTAAATCGTGGGATAAGCACCAGTTGTTTACGAACGGTATGATAATAAATCCGCCATATTGCCGATCGCGCACCTGAAAATCGCACTTGAAGTCGAATTTCAACTAATTTCAACCTCCGGTTCGTTTATGCGGAGTGCGAAAACCTAGTCTTTAGTGTAAAATAAGGTTTCAAACACAAATTTCGGAAACCTACATTTCGTTAGTTCCGTATAGTTTATGCCGTGATTTGAACCTTGGTTTCAAACTCAGGTTTCGATTGAAGTTAGGTTAAGAGGCTCGCATAAACATAGCTTTTGTCTTTTCAGCAGCCATCTTTCTTAAGGTTAGCCACAGTTTCAAACCTAAGGGTTTTCAACATCAACATTACAAATTTTGATGTACAGCCTAATTTACAACTCCTACTTTTAAGGACCCCGCGTACCTCTTATGGGAAAGTGCACCACGATGGATCTTTAATTTTTTTATTGCAATTGATTCTCCTCAAGATGCTGATCAAAAGTTATCATTGCGCCAACTTTCTACGATGCACCATTTTAGCACAAAATGCTGGAAAAGATTCAATTATTCGGCTATGAAGAATCAAAAAGAACAAAGCATTCGAGAACAGGCCTGATGTAAATAAGTGCGTGTCTGTCTTCTAATCTGTTCCTGCCGACTCTAGGGCTACCTTCCTCCCGCTCTCCTCCAGTTGACATTCTTTGTTTTTCTCTGACTTTCCTGTTCTTATGCTCCTCAAGAATTCGATTTGGATGGTCGAGCATAACGGCGTGCGGAATTTGTTGACACACAGCCGACCGTTCATTACAGTGCTAAAATGAGGAATCTTTCTGACTCTTATCGCGGAATAATTAAATCTCCTCCGGCGTTTTTGGCGAAAACGGTGCATCGCAGAGAGTTGGCGCAATGATAACTTTTGATCAGCATTTTGAGGAGAATCGATTGCAATAAAAAAATTAGAGATACATCGTGGAGCACATTCCCATGGGAGGCATGCGGGGTCCTTTGAAAATCCAAACAAATCTTGGTATTCAGAAAAAACATCATACTTCACTTTCATTTTAATAGAAAAAATGTGTTTCATGTGGAAATCAATATCATCTATGTTCCCCACCAAAATTTCTACATGAGCCATGTTTCACCGTTTTCAATAAGAGCAGCTTCATTTCCTTAGGATTTTTTCACACCTTTGTCTGCATTAGAAGATGCTGACCTCATCTCTTGGAAACAATTATCAACACCCAAATTAGGTAGGGATAAAAAAGCGAACCAGGGCATGTTTTTCTCCACTGTAAATTTTCAGGAATTATTTAAGAAGTTTTAGAAAGAATCATGTGAAACTGAAATGATACCTTTTGAGCTTCAGGCTCTAAGATCTCATGCTGCCGTAATCGTTTAAAAGATTCCAACTCTGTTTCACCAAAAAGTAAAATAGGTTCCCCTCTCTCTCTCAGCCTTCTCATGACTTCTTTCCGAGACAGTGTTTGATGCTCCGGATCATTGTGAGAACTGGAATCACCTGCGATAAAATGAAAAAAAAAAAATAGAGCATTACTGTACGAAAAAAAAATTACATCACAAAGAACTGTCCAAAAGCAAGAAAAGGGCAATTAAAGCACTAAACACACTGTTGCATATTTGATACTTTATAAGTTAAAATAGTAGACTACAACCAACCCCTAAATGGGCCTGTTGCTAACTTTTGCTAGAGCAAAAATAAGAGTTGTTCCTTACAGATAATGTCTCAAAAATCACGATGAGCGCATCGGTAAATTCTGAAATGCACTTCTAACTTCAAAATCTGCATAAGAAATTTGCGTTTTTTAAGCTTCCCGCCTCTAAAAGGATACTATGGCACAGGTGAACATTTCGTCAGAGGAGTCGTTCCATTCAATCCCTGCTCAACATGGCCGACACTTCCGCGCGCAAGTTGAGGAGAACACCAGGTCAATCAAGGAGGATATCTGGGGTAACCTTGAGCACTAGTGCTTATTGCCTCGCTGATTGCTCCTTTAGCGATCTCTCTAGGAGCGAGAAGCAAAGCAATAAGCACTGGAGTTCGAGGTTACCCTAAGGATATCTATCAACGCGAGAAAAATGTGAAAGTAAACACGCCAATTGTTATCAGGATTGGCGTTGGCTATGTTGAATATTGCGTAGTATCCTTGTGAGCATGGGTTGGACAGAATGACTCCTCTCATGAAAGGTTCACCTGTGCTATCCTATGGTTTTCGAGGCGGGAAGCTCGAAAAAAACGCAAATTCCTTATGCAAATTGTGAAGTAAGGAGTGTATTTCAGACTTTGCCGATGCTCTCTTCTTGATTTTTGAGACATTTTCAATGGGTAACAACTCTTATTTTTGCTCTAGCAAAAGTTTGCAACAGGCCCATTACTGCAGCCTAGAATAATCATGGCATGAAATTTGTTTTTGAGAGCTGTGAATAAAAATCTTTTTGTTCTACTTGTTTCTGAGAGCAAGCCCTTACTTGCATTTAATAATATGAAAAAGGATAATCTTACCTGAGCATTCTTTTTCAACATTTTGATGGTCATTATTTTGACTAGCTCTGTACTTTTCAAAATATTCCTCCCTTTCTTTTGTTAGCAATTCAGAGCGTTTAAAGTATTTTTTCCCAGGCTCCTAAAACAAGAAATAAGAAGAAAATAAAAAATTAGAAACTATCATTATAAAAAATTAAAAGATGTTGCGTAAGATTACCAAATGAGAGCTCGAAAAATTGAAAGATTTTACTTGAGGCCTTGGTGTGTGGACTGAATAGTTCACAACTCAGACACTGTTCAGGTCTGTTGAAGGAAACAGCAATCGGCAACAGACATAACAGATCACCTGAGACATCAGAAAGAGGTGACTCGAGCAGCAAATTATGAGAGCAACACTGGAACCACTTAACCAGTTCGTATGAATTGCTGAAGAGTCACAATTAATTGTTTATGCTCTTTCTATTTTCCTTCAGCCTACTATCAAGCAGCTGTCATACGAGCATCTGCACCAACTGCACACAAGCTGCTTGTCTAACTAAATTTTCACTCTCTTTCAAATAGATCCTGGTGAATCTTGGTATCAAGTAACCTCTAAAAAAAGGTTTACACAAAAAAGAAACAGGATTTTTTCCAAAAGGGATGCATGTAAAACGAATCTTTAGGTTATCCAGAACGGCAACTTTAACTGAACCTCTCCTATTCCATTGACTAACAATAAGATTTGAAGAAAAGAAGCACTGAAAATGTGGCTCGAATACTGTGTGACGAGTGACGAGGTGGTAGAATAGTGCTCAGCCCACAATTTTCAATATATGTACATGAAATGCAAAGGGCCACAAATACACCCTCATTTTTGGGCAGTTGTTTTGCTGTAGTTGATTTGTATGCGATGGTTAGTGAGATAAGATAAGATTGAGTGGTTGTGTATAGTTCTGCCAAAAGTACTTTACTGTATCAAAGAATTCTTTACCCTATGGCACTGCTATAAAAAGCTTCGCCGTACCCAGTAAGGTACGGTCATACTTGAGAGGAAGTGTAGACTCAGCATGCAATCCTCCTTGTCTGCATTCATGTACATATCGAGACTCAATATAAAAGTCTCGCTGAAATGAGTCTGAGTCTCTACACCTCATTCAAGTAGACTCAGAGCTCACTTATCATATGTTGAGTTTAGCCATAAAAGAAATTTTATCATTGGAAAATTTCAAAAGCGCATATTGATGGCCAAAGTGTGAAACCATGAATCACTGTCTGCGACATTAAAGCCTTCCTGTCATTCTTTATTTATTCTTTTGAAAGCTAGTCAAAAACTTCCTTCATTTTCTTACTCTGTTAGGAGAACATTCTGTAATACTTCAAAGTTGTAAAGTTGGCTTGTTTATCTTTTGCCGGAATCAAACGCTGAATTTAGCAGCTGAATGTGGAAGTCAACAGTCATCGCCCAAAGGCTGAAATTTAGTAAATTCAAGTTATTTTCATCCAGATGTGTATCAAATCTACTCGAATAGTTCAGACAAATTCAACATTAGTCCGATGGTTGCTGAGAATAAATTCAGGCATCGGGCCGATGACTTCCACATTCAAGCCCCATTCAGCTCCCACATTCAGCGTGTGATTGCGACACTAGAAAAAAAAAATTAGTGGGAGATATTTTAAAACATTGCAAAGATATACATGATTTCGCACTTGGGCCATTGTTGTACTCAAGGTCAGATCACGTATTCTGGCATTTAGTCTAATATCACTGAAAATGAAGGTTTAATTTGAAAAGAAGTGTACATAATAGACTCAAGAGCAAGTTTCAATTTGACAGAACTTGGTCGTTACAAATGCAACAGCCACACTGCATGAGGCAGCCCGCTATAACAAGTTACTAGGAGGTATTTCTGCTAAGCGGAACTAAGCACCATAGGGTGATAAAGGGAGAAGGGGGGGGGTAGAGTACCTGTATAGCGAGAGTATAGACAGATGTGAAACTCCGAAAATCCATCAGGCCTCCGCTGATGTCTCCGCGAATAAAGTTAGGGCCCAGAAATGCAGCCAACCTATGAATCTCAATTATTCAGAGCGCTTTACTAATACAATTGTTACAAGCCGTCTTATATAAAGCACGTATTTGACTTAGTTTTTGCAGAAATTTACTCGTTTTTGCGGAAGAACGCTCATTTATGTACATTCTTAGCCATCTTGGTTAGAATTGGAATCTGCAGACTGGCAGTGAAATTTTGTGCATTAGAATTTGGTTGGAAGGGTGGCTGCACTTTGGGGCCCTAAGCCCTCCATGAAGCGATCTGTCCATACTCTCGCTANGGGGGGGGGGGGATTGGATTGGCAGGTGCAGGTTAGCCTGAAATGCAGGTGACTGACGAGCTCCGGCCGTACTGTTCTCACTATGCGTTTCCATGATGCTCAGTTCCGTTTTGACAGAAGGTCCTACCTGGGATTCTAAAATCCTCAAAAGGAACTGAAATTGATGCGTAGTTCTGTTATATAGAAATATGTCAAATAAATGAATATAAAAAGCACAATTGTACGAATGCTGATGCAATTAAGATTTGGTTTTTGTCCCAAAATGCAATGAGCGAGCTCTGACTTTCAAGTTGACTGGCAGCCCTGTCTATGACGTATTTGGCTTAGTTGTGAAATACCTCCATCTGCTCTCCTCAGATAATAAATCAGATATATGAAACGTTCGAATATTTTGTAATGCTGGGCTTTACAAATATTGAAAGAGGGCTGATTAAGACAAAATTAAAATAACTGAAGGGCTTACAAGTAGTTGCTTCTCTGCGAGTTGTTCTCTTTTCCTCTTGAGTTCTTCCAGTAATTTGTTCATGATTACTGAATGGGCACATAGATGTTCTACTACGATTCAGAAAGTCTCACTGTTTGAAATTTTAAAGCGACTGTCGTAAAAGGTAGAAGGTTATGTTCAGTTACGTTCACTGTTTATTGATAGTATTAATACAGACACCCTCTGCGAGGCACCGCTAGCGTCGCAGGTTGCAGACGCAAAAGTTGATTCTGTTGGTTATTTATTTCATAATCAGGGGTTGGGGGTAGTTGGAAGGGCATAGAGAAAAAAAAGGAGGTGTTTGCATTTCGGGCATCTTGGGATTTTTTTGATGACGTAGTTCGGTACAGGTACAACGAGTTCATCATCGATTTTCTTGGAAATGGTGTAATTTATGGAAAAAAGTCATTCTATAAAAAGTGCTTGATATTATGTAATGAGTTGATTTAAGCAAAAAAATCGGACATTTTGGTCCGTTTTTCATATTTCGAATTCCGGATTTCGTTGGCCAGGTTGTTGTGACGTTGTGACGACCTACGTCACAGGGTAAACAAACCTCAAGATGCAAACACCTCCTTTTTTTTCTCTGCGTGAGCAGGGACGAGTGTAAACAAAACATCCTCCAATCCTACCTCTGGAAGGAATCTGGAATGGAAAAATGTTACATAACATGTGGTGTGCGGTTTAGCAGCTCGTAGTTATATAACTGCTAGGTTTTGCATTGTAGGACTTCTATCCTTAATGTTTGCTCCAGTTTTTTTGTAACTTGATATTTCAAATCTTCAGTCCGTGCTTTGCTCCATTCAACACGATTTTCGAGGAAAGACAGGATCTCTTCTCTTCTAAGTATCCACAACACCCCAGTTCCGAAGTGCCTCTGGATTGTTCAGATTCCTCGATATTTTCTGGTGAGTCTTCTCTAGCAATCTGTATTTACTCTGCTCTTTCACTAATAGTGCATCGCACAGTTTCATCTGAATTTTTCTCAATTCAGATGCCATGCTGATAACATTCACGGACCTCGTTTTGGAAACCTCATGATGATAGAGGACAACATTCCCGCAAGTGCAAGGGAGAGAAATGAAAGAAAACTCAGCTCAATTCCTATTCTCTTGTTTGATACAAACTCTTAAACATCCATTTAACACAGTATCAAATTTGACAACCATTTAAGCCTTGCGATATGAGTGTTGGCTTTTTGTGAGGTGCAGGAATGCTCGTGATAAGATGTTTCCATGGAGTAATGCACCGGCCTACACCCAGGCACTGTTTCTGTCAGTACTACAGTACATGTAAATGTGAATCCAAGACTGCACATCATTTCTATTCTTACATATTGAGTTGCCATTGTCATCGAACTGTTGATATCAGAGATTTTGATTTCAGCCCCACAGGGAACTTGGGATATCTAGGTTCCCCCCTATTAGAGCACCGCCTAATATGGCTGTGAATTTTGTATGACCTTAAATATCTGTATTATGTAAGTTTCAATTTCTGTTTTAAAAGCTGATTTTTAACAATGATGAAAGAAAATAAACCGATTTTTGAAGCATGTTGAATTAACCTTGGAAGTCTGTGTTCTTGAAAGGAAGCTCTGCCCACAGCTCTAAAAGGTTCGAACATACATGTCATGAAGCACCCTCACAAGGCTTATATTTTTTTAGTGCTGTAGGTAATGAGTGGGAATTGTATCCTTCATATTAGGGGTTTTCTTTTTCTGATTGGTGAAACCACCGGTTGCCATTTTGGTACAAAATTGCCCGCGATCAGTCGGGAGTTTAAGAACACACAACACACTTTCTAGCAATGTAAACAAATGGATTTCTTCCTCTTTTCAAACCTTTACTGCAATGATACTGCAATAGTGCATATATATACTCAATGTACCAGCCTTAACTCCTTTTCTGCTAAAAGTACGAGGAAAAATAACACTAGAAAATATTACATACTTCAATACATAGGCGACAGTGACGATGCAGAGCAGAATCATCAGACTCATCGACGGCGGAAGGCGCAAAATTCATGGAAATACCCACGATTTCTCGTTTGTTTGCTTATTTTTGGCCTGAGATCTGGCTGAAGTAAGGTTAGGTTGTCCACCGGTGGATTGAAAGTAACGGAGGAATCTCCGGTTGTTCGAGCAGTAGACTGGTGGTATCAAATCCACCGGTGGTGGCTCCTCCGGTCGTGACGTCAGCATCGACCGGTGAGTTAAAGAACGCAGTTTGGTGATCGGTGGTACCGCCAGTCAATAAATGAAAACCCCTATTAGGTAGGTGAGGTGATAATGGAGGCCATTTCATCCTCTTGATGTAAAGAAACTCATTGATCCTGAGTATACAAATATCTATTGATTTCCTACGTACCTATCTCACTTTCAGAGAGTCCAAAATAGTAAGACTCAGTAAACTCTAAGTTGCCACAAGATGTGAGGTTGGGGAATGGTGATGTGAGCTGCAAATCTTTCAGAGGTTACAAAATGGAAACAAAGACATTATAACTTAAAGACAGTGGGTACCTGGAACGCGCGGTGGCTCTTTTTACTGAATTTGCATGCGGCAACAGTTATCCATCGGTGACACGCTGGAGCCCCTGAATTTGCAGTGGGGCCACACTCAGTGCTAGGGAAGCCTTATCTGAATGTGTTCCAGCCAAGTTTCAGTGTAAAGATTTAAAGATTTGTAGGATTGTTTTGTACTGAGACACCCTCTCAAAAAGGTCCTTTGACATTTTCCTCAGAAGTCGATAGACGAAAGGATAAATAAGAAAAAAGGTCACTGATCGTAAGAATGTTTGCCTCAGTCGTTTTAAAAACCAATATTATCGGACTCAGATATTATTTTTTGGATTATTTGGTGCAACGATTTGATAGAAAATTTTACAGCCTTTCTATAAGGTCCTTAGATATTTTCCCCTAAAATCGACAGTTTTAAAGGAAAATGAGAAAAAAGGTCGCTGATCGTAAGAATGTTTGCTGCGGTTTTTCTTAAAAGCCCGTATTTTTCGTCACAAGAATTTTTTGTAATGAACTGATAGGAAATTGTACGGTCTTTAAAAAAGGTCTCAATAATTTTCCTCCAAAATTGAAATAATTAAAGAAAAATCAGGAAAGAGGTCGCTGATTATAAGAATTTTCCGCAGTTTTTTTTCTTAAGTTCATATTATTGGTCACTAGGGTTTTTGGTTTTGTGATTTTTTCGTAATGAACTGATAGTAAATCTTACGCCCTTTAAAGGTCTTTTGACGTTTACCTCAAAAGCCGACGCTCTTAAAGAAAAATGAGAAAAAATTATTTATCGCAAGAAATTCCTTTGACATTTTCCTCAGAAGTCGACACTTAAAAAGAAAAATGCGAAGAAAGGTCACTGATCGTAAGAATTTTTACCTTGGCCGTTTTAAAAACCCATATTTCCGGACTCAGATATTATTTTTTCGATTATTTGGTGTAATTATTTGATAGGAATTTTTATGGCCTTTCATTAAGGTCCTTAGACATTTTCCCCTAAAATCGACAGTTTTAAGAGAAAATGAGGAAAAAGGTCGCTGATCGTAAGAACTTTTGCCGCGGCTTTTTCAAAACCCGTTTTTCGGCCTTAAGATTTTTTTTTTACGAATTTGTTGATACTGATAGGTAGGAAATTTTGCGCTCTTTCAAATGAGTCTGTTTTATTTTAGCGTAAGTCGGAAAATATTAGAGTTACAAGCGATGAACCAACGCGAAACACGCGTTCCCCATAGGCAAGGCTGCGGCAGTGTAGCGTTGTGGAGCCCCAAAACTCGGTCCACCCCCGCCCGGTCCATCACATGGAACGACCGTGAAAACGGCCACCGCACGCAAGCACGGCGAGATAGGGAAACACACTGTCTATTAGTTATAATGTCTTTGAATGGAAAAGGGAGAATAGAAGAGGAAGGAGATAATAAGTGTCCGGAGAGTAAAAGGAAAAGAAAACTGAAGTTTATAGATTAAAAATATTAATAATTTCTAAGTCCACACATGGTTGAGAGACAAAAAAATCTCCAAGTTCAGATGTATTTATATCAAACTAGCCGTGCTGATTAGCTCGCTATGCGAGCTGTCACGTCTAGTGGGGGAGTGCCCCTTGACCCCCGGCTCTTCGCTTCGCGATTTACTTGCGACTCGCTCCGCGAGCCGCCCCTCACGGGTGCCACCCATACGGTTCGAATCCTCTGCGTAATTACGATCCAAACATGCGAACTGCGCGCGCATCAGAGCCTCCATTTTGGTCGCCTCACGTTTCCCGTGTGTGGCACGCGCCTCTCACGGCAATTACCTTTCAAACCAATAATAATGAGAAGACAAAATCTTCGCCACTTTGGCCATGGCCGCCATTTTGGATTTTGTTGAGGGGGTACTTTTCGACTGGAAACTCGAATTTTCGGTCAGATTTTTAAAATTACAAAATATTCGCCACTATTTGGCCATGGCCGCCATTTCGGATTTTGCAATTTTAAAAATCTGACGTTATCTTCTTCTGCCTTTGCTCAAAGCTTTGAAAAAAATGGGAAAATTTCTCATGATCTGTAAAATAGGGCATTTTGCCCTAGACTTGGATATTTGGCTGTAAGGCGGGAGTGCCGGATCGCGGCAAATGTCAGTATTGGAACTTGCTGCTCTCTTGGATAAGAAGGAAAAATAGATTCAAAACGTTTCAGTTACATAGAGAAACAGGGAGGATAATAAACAGGTATACGTTTGTGTTGTGATAGCATTTTGCTTTTTCATTAACACAAGGTTTCTGTTGGGAGGCCGAGCGTGGTCATGGCTTGGCAGTCAAAAAAGCACAAAATGATGGAACAAAGAAATGACATTACTAAAGATATCAATAGTTTACCTGGGATTAACCTCATATGTATCCTGGTTTGATATCTCTCACACATGGACCATTTATCATCCTAGACCACTGGTCAAATAACAACACAGCCTCTTGAAAAGAGGTTGTTCCAAAAACGCCGATTTTGGCCCCCCCCCCCTGGATTTGGCCCAAACTTTGCTCAGATGTTGTACCAAGTGTCCCCGATGCTTGGGCAAAATTTCAGCCCCCTCAGATAATTAGGGGGGAGGGGGCAGGGGGGCAAAGTTGCAATTTTTTTAAAACTTTAAAAATCGATATCTCGCGAACGGTTTGAGTGTAAGTGTTGCGGTTTGCGCTAAAAAACGTCATAAAATATTCTGTACAAGAATATTAATGCTGTTTGCAAGGTTGCGTAATTTATCGCGGTCATAAATCGATTTTTTCTATTTTGAAGGTTCGACTTTTTTTCGTTTTTCGTCTCTCCTCTCTTTGGAATCGTTGCTACGTGAATAAAAACCGGTTGAGGTGATTCTCCATGAAATTCTGCATCTACCACACTTAGTTTGATCTTGAGGAAACGATTCGTTCGTGAGTTATAGCACTTAAAGCGATTTTTCTGCGCGTTATCGGTTACGCGCGGGCGGCTTATCGGCGGCGCTCTATCCCGCGCGGGCAAGGCAGAGGTTGTTTTACCGCTAGGGCCTTATACTCATGCTGTAGGCTGTATTTATCGATATTTTCTCCTCCCCCCACCCTTCCCCTGCAATAAATATTTGTTTAATACTTCGTTATACAGGGTATCCCAGACCACCCGTAACAGGTCTTTTTCTCGGTTGGTTTAGGTAGTACGAAGTTAGGTAGTCCCCCCTAATTATCCGAGGGGGCTGAAATTTTGCCCAAGCATCGGGGACACTTAGTACAACATCTGAGCAAAGTTTGGGCCAAATCCAGGGGGGGGGGCCAAAATCGGCGTTTTTGGAACAACCTCTTTCTGTGATTTTTTCTCTGATTGAAGATTAATTTTTGAAAATTTCAAGCAGCAAAATAAGTTTGTTTCTCGACCAAAAACCTAAATAGAGATGGAGATTTTGCAGTACTGCAACATGTTAAAGTTCTGAGATAAGTCATTGGTATGCTCGATAAGCTAATTTTATTCCATAGAAACTTACGTACAGTAGGAAGGTTGGAGATTTTGGAGTGGGCAGAAAAAGAGGAATGTAATTGAGTCACGGAAGCATTTTTCTTGTTTACTGAGCACTGAGTTATATTAATATGCAGTGTCAACCAAGAGAGTTTTTTAACGCCTCTGAAGACAATTTGATAATCGATTGATTAATTGATAATTTCTGGATTTTAGAAAATTTTTCAAAATATCTCTGAATGTTTCATCACATTACAGTCCGTTAGGCATTTGAACCTATACAAGATTTGATTAAGGAACACCGTAAAATAACGTGGAAAGTACATTCTAAGTGAATACAGTCACCCCTCGATTATTCGAACCTCTTTAAATCGAAATGAAGGGCTTGTCCCGTGAAAAACTCTCTTTTTTTTTTTTTTTTTTTTTTTTTTTGAAGAATTTATTGATAAATTACAATTGTCGCCACTACCTTATACAATCTACAGGTATCTATCGACTAGTATTGTAGTATAGTAGACTCGAAAAAGCTCTCATTTTTCCCTCCATAATTCGAACCTCTTTAATGCGAAATTTTTCCATTCAGACTCTCACTAATTCGAACACTCTTTAATACGAAACCTCTATAATTCGTACAAATTCCTTTGTCCCTCGTATTTTGAATTATCAAGGGGTGACTGTATCGAAAATCAAAAGGTACAACAACTTGCAATAATCACTTAAAACTCACTATTGAAGTTTTTCCAACTGTTTCTCAGTCAAATTTTGTGCACCTACACATTTTTGACAGACTACAGAATGATATGATAGCTATATCTGGGAAACGTGGAAAAGTGAAGAGAGAGAACAAGCGAGTCTTTGCTGGAAGAGAATCATTCTTTTAATGGCAGAAATACAGCGTTGCACTTCAATGCTTGACTAGGCTGACAAGTGCTGCCCTCTGAAGGGAATCAGGGATAACACAAAATACAGATACAATAGTACCTAATACTGGGGAATATTTAAAGAAATTTCCTTAATATCGGAATTACCATTTGATTGATCGACCACAGGATCATTCTTCAGAGCACCGGCAATGTGACACAAATTTATGACTTTTTGTTAAGTGATTTTGTAGTTCTAGTATGAGTATGGTGTTTTGCTACAGTTATCTTTGTGAGGAAAGTACACTTCTCTTGGTGTACCTATTTCATAAGCAGCTGCTTCAGAAGTTACATGACTGATATCAGTTTACAGTCTTTGAGAAAGTGATGAATTATTCAATGAAAGGCTGAACACAAGAGTTGAGTACCAAAGAATTAGAACCACATTCAAGGTGGAAAACAGGAATGTCTTGATCACAGTTTTTCACAATTCTTAACTCTTGCGTCGTTTTTTTCCAAGAAAATATCCTAACATTTGCTCCTGAGGCAGAAATTAAGGATGATACATGGATTTTCATTGTCAATGCACAGTCCGTCTAGCGCTATGAAACTGCTATTCAATTTACCCATGAAATGCAAGCCTGCAAAAATTGGCAATTCTCTGCTGTTAACTAAAAGTTATTTCACAGCCTAATTTTTTAATATTGAATAACGATCCAAGTACAATTTACCACTACAAAGTTGCTGATTTTAGAAACTATACCCAATTTCAGAGTACCTATCAAATCGCTTTTTTTATGTATATATTTTCTTTCTCTATTTATTTATTTTTTAACAATTTTGACCAAACTTTCATAAACGTTTTTACTTACTTATAGGATTGCATGAAATTTTTATTGGATGTTTTTAGTAACTCACAGAAAATTTAAAACTTTCTTGATTTAAAGATGGCGGGTTTTTCTCGCAATAAAGTGTTTTTATCATCCCAGCACTTGAACATGCATTCGAAGAAACCAACGGGCGTTTCAGAAATTATACATCTACGTACTTATCAGCAAAGATGTATCTACAGTAGGAGTTCCAGAAGAAGGTGTATTCACATGAAGCGCCACAAGAACAATGACGTGTTTTTTAAGACATTGTTTGAAAGGAGATCCTACCTGCTTAAGTAATGACGTGAAATCGAGAGCAGAATCATGTATAAAGACGGATCAAAGCATCTAGGTGCAATTGGATTGAAAGAAAAATACATACCTACTATTGTCCCTAGGAATTATTAACTTGTATTTATTTTCTTAACATCGTTTGGAGATAAACCTTTTCTATTTAGTGACGGCCAGTTAAGTGTTGAAATTTGGCTGTGCCACTAAGACTCTGTATCCTAATTACTGGCAACCAAAGCGTTAAAGTCTTGCATCTTTAATATCCTTTAGAGCCAAATCAACAATCCAAGTTATTTTAAGTATAAAGTGACGAATCAAATTTTCATAGTTATAAGTAAACAGGATACTTCGCTCTTTCTAAGCAAGACCCCTTCAAGAAATTCATCGCTGTTGGATTTGTTTATTTTCTTTATTTATATAGATTGGTACATGAGCCATACACATGGCCATTATACAGGTCATTCATGGTGTCATGTCATACAGGGCATACCTACAGTTGATACATCGATGGTGAAAACGGTGTCAACAGGTTGAGGAAATACTCTTCAGTGTAAGGGGCTTTTGCAGCTAAAAGGCTCATAAGTGAGTTTAGGAGTCCAATAATGTTTCCCAGTTTGAACAACTCCTTTACGTTGCTTAATAGTGCATTGAAATGTTGCATTGCAGCAATTTTGATATTATTTCTTGACTTTTTTAGACGGTGTTTTGGGACTTCCATAAAATCATGCCTGCTGTTATAAGTGTGGGAAGGGGTTAAGTTTTCTGGCTTTATCATGTTGTTAGAAATAGCAAATTTTAGACATTCGTAGATATACAATAAGCGCAAAGTTAGAATTTGGTGCCTCTCGAAGATTTCTTCAACAGAATAGTTGTATGGTAGATTGAAAATAATTCTGATGATCTTTTTTTGCTCAATGAAAATCTTGCCAGCTGATTGGCTCCACCCCTATAACACTAAGCCATATCTCAGATGGGAAACAATGTTGACATAATAGTCCCACCTATATACGTTAATCAGCAGTTTAAACGGACTATTTCAGAGAGACTTCTGATTGCATGGGCACGGCTGTGTATTTTATTGGTTACAAAGGCTATATGATCCTTCCAGTCAAGATTCTGATCAAGTATTATTATGTACTTGATGATGATGATGAAGTGTTTATCTCACAGAAGGTAAAGAATCACCTCTCTGAAGATTGAGTGTCTTACTTTTAACACCTGATTCGAGTGATTTTGTTTCTGCGCTTTTCCAAGAGAAAATTCAGTTTGAATACTGGTCCTGTTTTTATAGATTGGAGAGGAGACATAACAGAAAGAAACAAGAATGACAGAAACTGAGAAAAATGAAACTTCAGGACAAGAAGAGGCTCCGTCAGAACCAGTTATTTCCAACACCACTTATCGACAGGTAACATTTTATATTATTGAAGGATGATTGCTAGATTACATTAAATAAGGTGACTAAATTTTAGAGAGGGAGACAGAAGGTCCACTACCTTGGTTCTCGCATCTACTCTCGTTGTTATGATGAAGATTGCATCTCTTCTATCGGACTCTAAAATTCCATAAGTGTAACTTACCACAAGACTAAGTGCAAAGTTAAGCATTATGACTAATGTATTTTCCTCATAACTTCATATGAAACACGATTCCTGCAACTGAAATTATTGAAAGTAACTCCTGATCCAAGGTATTAATGTTTCTCGATGCATAAGTTCAAACGTCCTTCTCATGTAATCTTCTTTTGTTAAATCATACACTGAACGTTACTGTACCAGTCCTAGCGGTATGAAAATATGGCAACCACAATCTTGTCGCTTCGGCTCAGCTGTAGCACGTTGTTTATACTTTGAGCAAAGTTTGGTTGGGAGGGAACACTGTTTGAATGGGGAGCTTGCTACAACCGTTGTAGTACAATACATATGTGGTTTCTTGTAGACTCTAGTTTTTTCTGTGAGCGGATATTTCAAATCTCTCAAAACCAGTTGTAAATAAAATATATTGAATAGGAGCTTTAGTAAGTCTCACTGGACGAATCATGTTTTTTGTGAAATTTTAAAGAGGAAGCATAAACCAAAATGATTAGTTCCATACCTTGTCTATTGGTTTATCCTTCATCTTTTCATAAAATCTCTTTGATCCATTGGTGTCATCGATCCTTGAGAGAAAAAAACCACAGTCCAAGGAGGTAAATGTAACAGGAGAGTTATTTTTCTCCAGTTGGGTCGAAAAATCGAACTTCGAATGTTCGACGGAAAGTAGGTACTTTGAGTTTCCCCAAAATTAATTTAAGAGCAGTTTAGTTCAATTTTGTGCCAATTTGTTTCTCCAAACTGTAAGTACTTTAATCAGACAACTCTGAGCCCCAAACATTGTGAAACACAGATTAAAATTTTATAAAGGTTTATTTTGGAAACTGCTTTTTGAGCTGCCAACTTCTTACACCATAATTCTGATTTGTTGTGACATTTTAGCGTGTTATTTGTCCTAAATCGTTTGAAGACACTGTTTCAAGCAATAAAACCAGTAGCTCAATTTGAAGATTTTCATGACTGAGGTCCTTTTGCTTGCAGACAGTTTTGGTATGGACTCAACTTGTGTGCAAAAATACTCAATGATTTTTTTATCATTTTTAGATTTCAGGAATTTCAAAGTTGAGTTTATTTTTAAATAGTAATTTGACAATTTAATTTAAAAAAAAAAATGAAAATAAATTCGCGAAATTTAATCCAGAAATTGAAAGATGGCTTGCAGACTACAAGATTAATTTTTACTTATTTTGATCCTAAAATCGAATAAAATGCATTCTAATACCAAAGTTTTTCAATTATTTACAAAAAAAACCCAATGGTATTCTTTGATGAACTGTGGATTCCTGGAGGGATTACTAAGAAGTCATAGTGTCTCTGGAGGAGTTATCAATATTTATGTTTCCCATTTGAGACATTTGATACTGCACTTAAAAGAAAATAAATAAATTCGGTTTCGAGGGGCAGTTCATGGAGACATGTGATTCTGCACTAACAAGAAAATAAATAAATTCTGCTTCGAAGGGCGGTTCATAAAATATGCTTCGCTGCATTTAGGATGTCTTGACCCAGGCTCCCATCTTTCAACTCGTAATAAGAAATAAATAAAGAAGAAATAAAATCCATAACGCTCTCTTCGAGCCGTCCCCCTCAGAGCATTTCATATTTTATGAACGGCCCCTATCCTTTAGAATACGCCCAAGAATTTGGTCGCTATCCAATCTCTTAGGAGGTGGTTAGTGTTGAGGTGACTTTTTTTTAAATTAAACTGATTTCGCACAATTTTTCTCCCACAGATTGTGTTGGCACTCATACTTGCAATTCCAAGTATTGCTCCAGGAATGACGTTTGGCTATTCAGCTGTGTCATTGGATAGTATTCCAGCAAATCTTTCGCAAGAATCTTGGTTTGGTGAGTTTTTTTTTTTCATTTCATGGGAATGTAATGTAAGTACTTAGATCTGCAGTTACAAAAACAACCTTAACCTTAAACCTTACTTAGTTAACATTTGAGAGAATTACCATATTCTTATTAAGTAAAGGTGAATCTTCAGTGTCAATTCCGAAAAGAAAACTACCAAGTCACGCTGCGAAAATCTGGCTGCGAAGCAGTGAAACAACACAAAAGATGTATTGCATTCTAAGACTTTAAAGTTTCAGCAAAATAAGTCTAAAATCTGTGAAACTGGAAACAAGCTTTAAAAATTCAATAGAGTAAAGTCTAGAAATTCATCCCAGTTTTCTTATGGGATACCTATAAGTGCGAGAGAGGCAGCCCACGATACGAGAGGGTTATTAACAACTTCTGAGAGGGATTACTCCTGATTGGTTGCATAAAGATCGTTTTACCTAACCCTTATTTCTGGGATTAAGTTTTGGAGCCTCAGAACTTATATACCTTCTCCAGTTTGGTGTCAATGGGCAGAAGAGTGTTTTAGCTTCAACTGACTGCCTATTTACTTTTGAAGGAACTCTCTTTAATTCCCTCAATCAAGTTAAGGACTAATGATAAGTTGTACAAGCTATATAAATGTAATCGCAAAAATCGTAATATAGCAGTGACAAATTTCTTATCTCTGCAGATTCACCTTAATGTTGCCAACAAAGGAATAAAGGAGTGTATCATTTAACTGTTTTTATTTTAAAAACATCCACACACTGTTTGCATACTTTTGTCAAAGAGAATAATTCAAGCTTTTTCAACCCTTTCCTCGTAAATTATTTTTCATGTTCTTCCTTCCTGTATTCTCATTTAAACACTTGAGCGCAAAAGGTAAAGTAATTTTGCTGACTGGACATGAAAACTCTGCGGCAAAGCAAAGCCGCCCAAAATTAGTGGCCAGCAATCTCTAGCAGGGAAAGGTGAACCGGAGATCTCCGATAGAATGCCATCATTTTAACACCTTACCTTTGTGCGACTGCAGGTTACTTAAGGGTATTGCCCATTCTGTGAACTGGAAGTTAACACTCAAGGGCAAAGGGCTCAGTTAAATGAAGAACAACAGCAGAAATATACTTTACCTACTGGTCACCTGATAATTTTGACAGAAAAGCTGTTTGAATTTTTGAAACTGTAAGACACAAAATAAGCCTGACCCCCTTACCTCCCTTACCTACCCTCCTGGCATATGGCCCTGGGAGTACACAATTTTGATTCCATGGTATAGTTTCATACATGATGATTCACTTGCAAGAGGTCTAAAATTATCATTTTCCAAGTTCAAAGCTTATTACAGGAAGGTCAAAGATAATGAACAATTTAAATTCTGTAAATTTGTATGAACTATACTTTCATCTAAAAAAAGAAAAGCATTAAAGTTTATTTACAAACTGTTCATCCCAAAAATGACCATTGCTTCAGGTAATTAGCTGACTTAGCATGCATTGTAATTTACATCAACCATCCAGCAAGTCAAGGTGATCATGTTTGTTTCGATGGATTTTTTCTTGGAACTTGATCCGCCAAGATTAAAATAAGTTTTTGCCTTCAATCACTAACATCAATTGTTGTCAAGATTTATTAAACGACGACAAAATCTCTGCAAGTCAGTGGCAATGGCAAAGAATTATTTTTTCACAAAAATCCTTTGAAAAATATAAGTCTCCTACTTAACAGTAATTAGTTTAACACAAACGTTCTTTTAGAGATGAATGAATTAAAAGTAAAACTAAATTGTATCTTTCAGCGAGCTTAGCATGGATTGCAACCCCTGTTGGCTGCTTGGCAAGCGGGCCGATTATGGATAACTGGGGCCGGCGACCAGCATTGCTTCTCATCAACATAGTTGGATTTTGCGGCTGGATATTGTTAGCATATGCCTCAACAACTTTGAGCCTCTACACTGGACGAATTCTGACAGGTGCATCAATAGGATTCGCCTCAGCTCCGTCATCCGTTTATGTTGCCGAATGCATTGCGTCCAACAGTCTGCAGTTGCGTGGAATACTCCTAACGTGGCCAACAGTAGCCTTGTCAACAGGTATTCTCCTCGTTTACATCATGGGTTCACTTCTCAGGTTCACGGTTGTTGCCGGTCTTGGAGCAATAATCTCTGTTGCATCCTTCTTCTGCATTCTCTTCTTCATTCCAGAAAGCCCGGCCTGGCTTTTGCTCAAAGGTAGAAGAGAGGATGCGGAAGTGGCTCAAAGACGCTTAGGATTAGGGAAGCCGCTGAGCGAGTCGCGAGTGGAAAGCGGCGAAGCTAGCACATCAACTAAACTTCTGCCGTCTCAGTCTGAGTTGACGTGGTCAACAGCCTGGGAAGAACTCAAAAAGCCAGAGGCATACAAGCCTTTGACAATAGTCATATTTTTCTTCCTTTTCCAACAGTTCTCGGGTGTTCTCGTCGTTATCAACTACCTGGTCGAGATAGTCAGAATCTCAGGATTCGTTCTCCTCAATCCCTACTTTGTCACAGTCGTTGCAGGGTTCATCATCCTGATCTGTGCCTGCTCTGTGTCATTCCTTCTCCCCAAGTTCGGTGTCAAAGGTTTGTCCACGATCTCTGGTGTCGGAATCGCTATTTCCTGGTTGATCATCGGATTGTATATTTTCATTAGGAGAACTTGGCTTGTCGAGCTCCAGTACAGCCTCTTTAACCTCATTCCACTCTGTGGCATCATTCTGAACGTTGTCTCGAGCTCCATTGGGTTTTATCCACTGCCGTTCGCCATTCTCGGTGAAATATTCCCGCCTAAAATCAAAGGTGTTGCTAGTGGCATTGCAACTTGCGTAGCCTATTTATTCAGTTTCATAGCTGTGAAAACATTTATTTATCTTCAATTGCACTTTTACAGTGCTGTGATCTTCTTCTATGCAGTAATGGCTGCGTTCGGTGTAATCCATGTGAACTTATTCTTGCCGGAAACTACTGGCAAAAGTCTGCAGGAAATCGTGAAACATTTCTCTGCAACTAAAAGTGGCTACGAAAAGATCTAACCTAATTTTTGCAATAAAATTGTTGTTGTACAATTCAAGGGTCTCCTGAAAATTGAAATTACCTACTTCAGGTTGTACAACTTGTAAATAGTCTTTTGAATTTTATCTCATTCCATTCTAATAAAATTTCCTTCCTAATCAAGGTGTTCTACCGGAGTATTCAATAATCAGTATTTTAAGTTGTACAATAGTTGTTTTGAAACTTTACTGAAAATGTCAATTGTGAGTTTGCTGTCCAGCAAGGGCTTTTTATATCAAATTATCCTCTTTATCTGGTTGTCAATACTCTGATTTCAAGTGCCAGTATTAGTTTTTCACTATTTACTGTAATTGGAACCTAACAACATGTTAAGACTGAATCAATCGATACCTTATTGCAGCTATTATGTAGTGACTTGCCTCTGGAAAACAAACTGCATCGGAGATGTATAAAAGAACGGAAAGAAAACATAATTTTCGAGTCATCTATCAGAGACATCTCAAACCGATTGTAATTCTAACGAAGCGCTTTCTGCTCTTCTATTTTACAATCTAAGTACAGGTTTTTGATAAGTTCAAAGTGCATGAAGTTCATATGTCAAAAGAATATTCTGATCTTGATATAGGTTTTTATCATGGTTTTTTTTCAAAGTAAATTATTCGACCCAAATCTGCATTTCTAACTTTTTTGTTCTTGTTGAACCTCAGTAAAATTGTCCTTTTACCCCCGAACATTACCCCAAAAATATTAAATATGATAGTACGCAATTTCCATCAACTATGTTGTTGCCTGTATGTTATCTTAATCCTTAAGCATCCATTTTATAAATTCGGAGACTGCGAAAATATTCCTCTGAATTGGTCTTCGAAAATGCAGAGAAGTATGCAATTTTTTTTAGATTTGTTGCATTTAGGTTGCCTGCAATATGGTTCGGTTTTTGAACATTAATCTGGCTTTTTATTCAATCAGCTATACTTTTCTTCGGGACCATTGAAAGTTTCTTAAATTTTTCTGAACAATATTCTTTGATTAGGCACTGTATATTGCCATCTCGGTGTGATTTTTTTACCTGGATCTTATATGTTATCATTACGTTTTTCTCCTTTTCTTTATTTTACAGAATTGGAGTCATAACTTTTTTGTAATATTGATATAATGTTAACTTTTTCACTTATACAATTTATATCAGAGGCAGAGGCTTCAAATAAATGACTGAGTATTTTGTCACTTCAATCGACTTTGGGTTTTTCTGGCATTTTATGTTCCCCACCCTGATCTCTACAGAGGAGAGCTTAGTGAAAATTACCTATGAAGAAAGGTGCATACTTTATGTCGATTATCGCTCCTAAATCTTGAGAGCAGACTCCTTTTTCCCCCAAATTATAATTGAAACAGTGCTTGCACCAAGACAGAAACTAACTTTCAAGTACTTAATTGAGTCTGTAGCAAATCTGTGAAACTGCAGAAGTGCCTGTCTCGATTTTTGACGGTTTAAGTTAGCTATATTTATGTGTTGTTGATGATGTTTTCTTGAAGATGGCAACTACCAAGAGATTATAATCGGAAAAAATCGGGAAGTCACCTAAAACTGTAGAACTTTTTTCGCATACCTCGGGCCTAACGGCAGAAATGCATATCTAGTTCTGGCGCCTTTGTTTGATATGGCGTGCCTTTATGCACAACGCGCGCTCCTTAACGTTTTCTGCCATCAGCTTCAGCATTATTATATGTACATCAGATGATCAACTGTTCTGTGTTTTTATTTATCTTCTCTCTCTTGCAATTCTTGCAAAGGAATTTGAATACAGTAAGTCCCTTACTAACTTGTGGCTGTTATAGTTCAGGCAGCCTAGCATGCACAAAATCATGAACAATAATTTAGAACAAAGATACAATCATGAACTCAAGATTCATCATAACAGTTAGCTGTATTAGAGTCAGTCGAATCACACAATGCCTGATATAGCTGTAATGGCTCGGGGATCCATACAACAAAAAGGCTTTAGTTCCTTATTGCAAAATGAAGAATCCGGGGAAGCTTATTTTGCAATTAGGAACTCTAGATTGTTTTAGCACTAACTGCATAGGGGAGACTAGAGTCCCTTTATACCCAGAGTTAAGACAACTCGATTATCAGCTGACTGGCAGCCGGTCTTGGCTGGCCATGGAGGCCGAAACGAGTGCACCCAAACGAACGATACTGAGGGATAAGGATCAGGATTCCTGCGATGTCTGTCACACAAAACAACAACATCAACAAATTGATCAATTAAAAAGAAAATGTGATTGGTTTGTGAATAATTTCTTAATCTATTTTCATTTTGGACCGATGGAAATAACAATTTACTCTTGATAAACCACAATTAGGTAATATTTTCATTATTCTTGTTCACATTCGAGGTACCGCCATCTTGGTGCACTCGTTTCGGCCTCCATGAGCGAGAACCAATCAGAATTGGATTTTTTTTGGCCACTTTCAGCCCAACCCTGGCCCAACCAAAAGTGAGTTGTCTTAACTCTGGGTATAAAGGGACTCTAGGGGAGACGACCCTGGTGTCACTATTACACACCGGAGGGTTAACCCCAACAGAGAAAACACCCCTTCCTCCCATCATACAAAGGAGGGGGGAGGTGCATTGTCCGTGCGGAAAGATATTCTACCAAAAACAGGGTGCGCCAAAAATATGGATACCTACAGTTTTGCTAATATTTCGAGAATGGTGGCAAATATTAACATGCAATTTGGACGGGAGGGTTTATAGATTCGATTGACATGAATGGATCGAAAAATGAAAGCGTAAAGCGATCGACACTGACTCGATCGACGAATTATTGAAAAACCGGTGTCATGAATCCGACATGAATCGATCGAACAGTTGGAACGTGAACCGATTGACGTGATTCGATCGGCACTGATTCGATTGACGACTGTAAAATCGATCAAAAACCTGCGAATCGATTGACGACCGTGAATCGATCAAAAACCTGCGAATCGATTGACGACCGTGAATCGATCAAAAACCTGCGAATCGATCGACAAATCCGTGAATCGATTGACAACCCCGTGATTCGTTCGAAAAATCCGTGAACTGATCGATAAACCCTTGAATAGGTCAACAAACCCGTGAATCGTGAAATTTTGAAAATTCGAAAATCCAAGATTAGGGATGTGACCTAAAATGATATCTCGGCTCCTGTTCGATCGATCTTGCTGATTTTTGGTACCAGGGGGTATTTTTGGACGGGAAACTTGGATTTCTGATCAAATTTTTAAAATTCAAAAATCCAAGATGGCGGATGTGGCCTAAAATGCCACCTATGCTATCCTGGCTCGTGCTCGATCGATCTTGCGGATTCATAGTTCCAGGGGGTATTTTTGGACGGGAAACTCGAATTTCTGATCGAAAATTCAAAAATCCAAGATGGCAGATGTGGCCTAAAATGCTATCCTGGCTCGTGATCGATCTATCACGGTGAATATTGGTACCAGGTAAGTAGTATTTTTGGACGGGAAACTCGAATTTCTGATCAAATTTTAAAAAATCGATAACCCAAGATGGTGGATGTGGCCGGAAATGACCTTACTTGAGTAAGTATCCCCTGGGGGATCTTTCATTCCTCAGACACACGCATATGAAGGGGAGCTCAGAAGACGCAACCTCAAACTTGTTTTTCGTGGATTGAAATGCGAAAAATATCGGAGAAAATTATTGTGCCTTATGCGTAGTAAATAAGTCAAAAAATGCCAAAATCAAAAATTACTAAACAAGTTCATAGTCAAAATTTGAAAAAATTTCAATATATCGAAACTCGGCTAGGAATTCGAGTTTCCCGTCCAAAAATACCCCCTTTACAACCAAGATTCACCACGATAGATCGAGCAGCCCGAGATAGCATTTTAGACCACATCCGCCATCTCGGATTTATGAATTTTCAAAATTTGACCAGAAGTTCGAGTTTCCCGTCCAAAAATACCCCCTGATACCACAAATCAGCAAGATCGATCGAACAGGAGCTTAGGTAGCATTTTAGGCCACATATCCGCCATCTTGGATTTTTGAATTTTCAAAATTTGATCAGAAATTCGAGTTTCTCGTCCAAAAATTTCCCCTGGCTTCTAAAATCAGCTAGATCGATCGAACAGGAGCCGAGATAGCAATGATAGCATATTGCCGTCCTGCTTAGGTATATAGTTCCGAATTGCAAAATGGGATATCCGAGTTCCGCATGAAGCAATAGGGAACCAGTATAGGGCCGAATGGAGATGTTGCATGTGTGAGAAATTTGCGATTTGACTGTTGATTCTTATGTGAAAGTTCGCGAGAAACACGATGGTGCCACTGGTTTTCTCTGAAATCATCTCCCAAGCTCAAAAAAGCTCTCAAAGTGCAGCCAAAATGGAGGGGATATCCCACCCTACCCTGAGAGTCCACTTCTACAGCAAAACAAACTCTCCATGCAAAGATAGGGAGCAAATACATTAGCAGGGTTGCCACTTTATTTAGGGACTCCAAAACTGATAACACTGCAACCCTGCTAATGTATTTGCTCCCTCCCTATCTTTGCATGGAGAGTTTGTTTTAATGAAGAGGTGGACTCAGGGTAGGGTGGGATATCCCCTCCATTTTGGCTTCACTTTGGGAGCTTTTTTTGAGCTTGGGAGATGATTTCAGAGAAAACCGGTGGCACCATCGTGTTTCTCGCAAACTTTTACGTAGAATCAACGGTCAAATCGCAAATCCCTCACACATGCGACAACTCCATTGCAAAATGAACTTCGCGTGATCCTGCGACAGCAAATTTTTGCGGGGTCGCTGAAGCGGGATAAAAATCTTTTTGAGGATTTTCTTATTCTCAATAGTAAGTAAATAGGTACCTTCCTGATACAGAATTCATCATAAAAAAAAAATCGAAAATTTGACCCTAGTTCCTTATTGCATAAAGCTGTCCATCTATTTGAATAATTAGCCCGCAGGGATCTTTTCACGATTACAAAATCCCTGCAAAACAAAAAGCTCGCTAAAACGAAACGATTTAGCAACAGTGAGGAGCACCTACAAAAGCTTAGAATTCAGACGGAATGGACAGGGTTCAGGAAGAGGATACGCAGTGTTTCTAATCCAGTCCCCTTTTTTCCTCGCTGCACGCATCACAAATGTACGGGTTGTTCAGTTAACTGTTCGGAGGAAAAGCGTAAGTGTAAGGGAGCCCCACAGGTCAGAGGTCTTTTTTCGAACGGAGTTGTCCGCTACTGTGCAAAGGAGGGAGAAAAAGCGAGCGATAAAGAAATGAATTTCAAACCAGTGGCACACTGAGTGAATGTTATCGTCCTGCAGCCGGCGCCGGCCGCGTAGTTATCGAATTATCAACAGGGTCAATAGCTGGGCTGATAGTTGGGAGGAAGCGCTCCCCGGAAAATCAGAGTGGATCAGTCAGAGTGCGCGCTCAACGAACCAGCTTTCCCCGTAAGTCCCTCATTTTTCTACCAGCTTTCACCCCCCTCAGTTTTCACCCTTCCTCGTAAAGCGGTTGCCGTTGACTCAGAGGCTCGCATCAAGAGGGGCTTAATTGCGCGGCAACGTTGCAAAATTTCACTCGACGATTTGCTTGTGTGGTCAAGAACGATTTCGAAATTTCTTTAGGTATTCGCTCGGTTGATTTTCTTTGTGGTTTGTTGAAAATTTATTGAAATGTTTTACTTACAAGTAACGTGCATCTGATAGTGGCTTTTTTTAATTCATGCATCCTCTAGGGGATGGTGGCGGACGCGTAACGGAATGAGCGGGTACTAACAATGTATAGAGCATATTAGGCAGTTTTTCCACACGTTTTGAAAAAAATTTCGTCGAATTCCCTGCGAATTGATAAATTCATGTTCGATATAAAAGTCTGCGGGGGAAACTTTTATCATAAGTGTCCCTATGTTTCTTTGAATTTTTGTGCTTCCTTAAATTGTGACCGTTTGAGCTATCCTACCTCGTTCAGGAGATTAAGCGTTTTTTCTTACCGAGGTACTCGCGCTTTTGTGAATTTTGTTGAGAAGGGTGGGGGAGGGGGGGGGGCACTTGAAATACGGAGTGTTAAGTGAAGACGGATTGGAAGTGTCAGAAAACCTCAAATCCATCAGTGATAATGCAGGGAAGATCCTGTATTGCTTGAAGAAATTATTTGTCCAGTAAAATATCGCAACACAGTATATAGGTAACCCCTTTAGACATCTTTCGCCATTCACATGCCCCTAAGCTTTTCGCCTCTCGAAATTTTCATATTTTATTTGAGTCATATCCACGCACGGATATACCGAGCTGGTTTTCATAATTGTGCGGCTACTTCCGACTTCCAGATCCGCTCTTACTCTTAAAATTTTTGAAATCATGACCTTCATTTTTCATTGCCCAGAGGTTGCTTTACTGGGGCCCTGAGGAGGTTACCCAGGTCCGCACAATAGCTGTGGGAAAAATCTTTTAGCCTCCTTTAGTTTTTCGTCGCCTTCGCGTATTGAGAGCTATCATAGCTGTAATGGATATCCTAGTAGCTAAAATACTAGTATCAGCTAGGTATACTTTAGCAAGTAGATGCCATATTTAATATATATTTGGTGTCTACTTTATACAGTATTAAATACTAACTTGTATTTAAAATAGGTACGGTATCTAATACCTATGCGTCAAATACCTAGCTACTTGTAAGTAGTTTCTGTGTTCACCACCACATTTCGCTAATTCACAAATTCAGGGTCGATAGACCTAGGTCAGTCCAAAAATTACGATATATGGCGATTAAATCGCTACACATAGCAATTTTTGGTTCGATAAAATCGCGATCAATTTTCATTGATAAAATCGAGATTAAATCGCGATTAAATCGCCATTTATCGCGATAAATTGCCGGGCGAAAAAATCGCGATTTTACCCCGATTAGATCGAGGATAATTGCTCAGATTTTGATGATCCTATCGATTTTCTTGCCGATAAAATTGCAATATACCTCGATTTTTCCGTTGAAAAATGCTACTTGGGCAGGTTGGGAAATTCTAAACGTCAGTACTAACGGACTGACCTATCGACCTTGCACAAATTATCGATTTTTACTCCTATTTGCATGCTTTTCTAAAGAGTTTCCACAAGTTAAAATACAGAGAGAATTTGTATCTAGTTTTTAAAAATAGTTTCAAATGAGAGCATTCAAATTTAATGACAAAAAGCTAGGTTATGAAACAATAGGTTTCATTCAGGGAGGGCTTTTCAGAAAACCTGGGGCATGATAGATGCTATGCGTTACATCTGTACCTATACTTATGATTTAGTAATAATTTTCCTCACTATCAAGAAACACTACTATGTCTTCCCTGAGTAAGAATTTTATGATCCACGGGGAGGCAGGGGGGGGGGCTGCGGCCCTGGGACTTATGCACTTTCGGATGAGGGATTGTTTTCACCCAACCCTCCTCTGCAGTGATTCACACATTGCATATTCATAATTTTTCTTCCTCCTACTTAGGTACACAATATCCCTTCTTGCTACGGCTTTTTTTAGTTCGTACCTATTTCATATGGTATTATTATACCTAAAAAAACAAAAATGCATAATAGGATATTTCAATATGATATTTTATGCCTATTTTCCGCTATTTAATACAGCTTATTTGTTAGATATTTGAAAAATGCCTCACATATTTAGATTAGATTTATCTGTTATACCTTTACGTACGAAATTCTTCTGATAAAAAAGAGAGGAGGACGATAACATTATTCTACAGGGTTATCCAAAAGTCACTGACCACCTCCGTAACTTTTTTCCAAATTGAGATCGAAGTTTGAAACTTTGGCAATGTTCCTCGGTCTGAAGTAGCAACTTCTTGGTCCCCTCAAAATTTTGGGGGGCGGCCTCCCCTAAGGGGGCGGGGGCTAACTTTTTCTTTCAAATGGCGACCCCTCCCCCCTTTATGATACTTCATTCGAAAGATAGTAAAAAAAGAAAGTTTTTGGCGCAAACCGCAAGTCAAAATGTTGATTTTTGACAAAATGGCGGCCGGTCAAAGTTCAAAATGGCGGAAATCTGACATCTCCATTGTTTATTGACGGATTGGCGCTAAATTCGGAATCTGAGGGTTTTTCGAGAAGAGAAAAACGATTCTGGCATTAGTTTTCCAGAAAAGTCAGTCCTTTTCAAAATGGCGGCCTAGCGCGGGAAGTGGATATTTAGGCTGCTTATCGTTGGATGTGCATGAAACTTGGTATCCAGGGGTATTTCCACACGAGAAGAACGACTCTTTCATTCGATATCTGAAATTCCAACAAATTTCAAAATGGCGGGATATCAGTTTTGCGACTGTTTACTGATGGATTTGCATGAAATTCGATATCGATTAGTAAGTATTTCAACAATCTAATGAAAGATTCTTTTTTATCGAGCCAAAAACCACCAAGATATCGGATTTCATGCGAATCCATCAGGTAAACAGCCGTAAAACTGATTTCCCGCCATTTTTCCGCCGCCATTTTGACATTAGTCGGAATTTAAGATATCGAATGAAAGATTCGTTCTTCTCGTGCCGAAATACCCCTGGAATCCCTGAATACCAAGTTTCATGCAAATCCAACGATAAGCAGCCTAAATATCCACTTCCCGCGCTAGGTCGCCATTTTGACCGCCGCCATTTTGAAAAGGACTGACTTTTCTGGAAAACCAATGCCAGAATCGTTTTTCTCGTCTCGAAAAACCCTCAGATTCCGAATTCAACGCCAATCCGTCAATAAACAACGGAGATATCAGATTTCCGCCATTTTGAACTTTGACCGGCCGCCATTTTGTTAAAAATCAACATTTTGACCTGCGGTTTGCGCTGAAAACTTTCTTTTTTTATTATCTTTCGAATGAAGTATCACAAAGGGGGGAGGGGTTGCCATTTGAAAAAAAAGTTAGCCCCCGCCCCCTTAGGGAAGGCTGCCCCCCAAAATTTTGAGGGGACCAAAAAGTTGCTACTTCAGACCGAGGAGCATTGCCAAAGTGTCAAACTTCAGTGTCTTTTGGATAACCCTGTATAAGGAGGAGTATCGTTTTGGGCTTTTTCCGGCCCCACCTAGATTTTGCTGAACGTTTCATATTTTCAAAGTACTAGTCCTAGGTAGACTTTATGCCAGACATTTTACCGAAAGGAGCCCATGCAAAGGTGCAGCAACGCCTCAAACCCAGAATCTTGGCATCGAAAAATAGTTATTTTCGTCGATTTTTTCGACCGTTATCACTAGCAGATGATTCCCATGTATTTTTTTACGTACTTTCCGTTTCACGCCTTCTTAAAGGTCTCCGATAAATTTGAAGGGGTTTTATGACCCATTGTTGCCATTTTTGGCCCATTTTTAGGGGTTTTTTCAATTTTACACACGCAGAAATCAATTCAAACTAAGAACCGTATACGTTTTTGAAAAGAATGCAAAAAAATGAATAAACAATGAACTTTTTTCTACGTTGCCAAATCGATAAATATCGTTCCAAAAAGCCAAAAATGGCAATAATTCGAGAGATTGCCACGCTTAAGGTTCGAGCAAGTGGGGTACAACTTTTATATTGACGTACGTAACAGCTCTTACCCATATATACAACATATCGAAAAATTATAGTTGTACCTGGATTCCCATGCACGATGTGAAAATTGCATAGAGTACAATAGAGTCGCAAAGTACTGGATCGCCGTTGAAGTTACTTTTCGAGGCTGTTTTGTCCAGTTCTCCGGAGACTAGTGTGCGGCGACTAGCGACGACGCATACGCAGAGACTCGCGCTCAGCGCTCCCCACCTCCCCACTCGTGACTCGGCTCCGTTCGTCGGCTAGGTCCACACACATTGAACCCAGCCAAGTAGGCCGGTATTAAGTCTGAAATTGAGTCCATATATGAATATTATCCAGGAGTAACATACATTAATGGATTCATTATGGCTTTGGATATCTATTTAAAGCAAAATTTGTACAAATTAATACCGATGGAATTAAAAAAAGTCGAAAAAATACAAGCAGTCCTTGATTTCTCCATAAGCCACCGTGTTAAAAATTCCGGTTGGTTCACACTTGGTATAAGTCAGAAATTAAATCCCTGTGTGAATATTATCCAGGAGTAATATACATCAATGGATTCATTATGGCTTTGACTATCTAATTATAGCAAAATTTGCACAAATTAATATCGATGGAATTAAAAAATGTCGAAAAAACACAGGCAGTCGTTGCTTTTCCCGTAAGCCGCCGTGATAAGAAATGCCGGTTGGTTCACACTTGGTATAAGTCAGAAATTAAATCCCAATATGAATATTATCTAGGAGTAATATACATCAATGGATTCATTATAGCTTTGACTACCTTTAAATAGCAAAATTTGCAAAAATTAATGCTGATTGAATTATAAAATACCTAAAAAACACAAGCAATTCTTGATTTCTCCATAAGCCGCCGTGTTACAAAATGCCGT